CATAATGGGGATTTGTGATAAGGTTTTTTTTGGTAAAAATGTCTGCTTAATTTAACATGTTTTAGGAAGTTCTCTCCTGTCTACTTTTGTATTTTGTGCTACTACTAATATATATTTTTTCACGAATTTCATTTCTTATTTCTACGTAAATTTTATTTTTTTTATTTTATTTACTATCTACAAAATTTGTTAGACTCTTTTTAATTTTCAGGCGAGTTATGTCAAAAAGGCCTATATATTGTAGCGTCACCAAATTTTATTGAATTTAATATTAAGATACTTCTCTCCATGGAAAAAAAAAGTAGGTCGCAAAACTGGGCTGTCACATAGGGTTCTTTTCAATGCACCACGGCCCCGTCGCCAGCTGTCACGATCTCCCGCCAAATAGGGTGGCGTTCGCGAATCTCGTTCTGGAATTAAAGAGAGATCGCCCTGGAAAATTCCAGGAACAGTGCGTACCGATTGGGTGACACAAGATTGCGACGCAAATACTTTGGCATATGAGACATCTCCTCGTGAGAGAAGGGGCAAACCTACGGGGCCAGAGACGTTTTTGGGAGGGGGAAACAGAGGCGAGCTCGGCCGGGAGCTGAGTAGAGAAAAACATTCGGGAGAAATTGTAGGAGAAAGGAGGTGGCTATTAGCTAAGACTCGGTGGAGTGAGGAACATTATTTATTTCGGCTCGTAGGGCTGAACTTTGCCACCGAGTGCGTTTTTTAACCGAACCAAAGAGCCGCCCAGACTACGCGTCAATCTGCGTTCGCTGCGTAGTGCTGTCTCGGGCCCATTCATGCCCGCATGACGCCCGCCCGGCGCCCGTGCTCTCGAGCTGACTCTGAGCCCGCCCGCCTTCGACGACTCCGAGCCGCACCACGCCGCCAGCCGAGGAGGGCCGAATGGGGAGTCGGCAACCTGACCATCGCCCCGCCGGCAGCCATCGCCTGAGCGAAGGTCAATCACGAGACAAGGACAGCCGACAACCAGCGGTGATAATCCGGTATTTAACCGAAGATGAACTCTCTCCCCTGATTACATCACGGGGTTCCTTCGCTGGGTATGCCGGCGAAAGTTTCAGCGTTCCCGCGCTCAGGCAGTTTTTTATTACTTAACAATGCACGAATTGTTGTAGACAAAACTCCAATGTTAGTGTTAAGACGTTTCTTCCTAGCTATTAGAAACATGAGCTCATTGCGTAAAGTTGGTAGGCAGTCATTGTCGCTCTCTTGCGACGTGTATCTTCCCTGGCAGCTAATGTCAGGAAAAAATAATTTTTGCTCAATTAATGAAATATTTAGATATGATTAAATAGATAACATCCCTTTCTCTTCCGTCCATTCACTATAGGAATGAACGAGCGACTCGAATGAGCTAAAAGTTACAATATTAAATTAAAATTAATATTACTTTTCGTTTAGATGCTCGGTTTAGTCTCTAGTTGTATAGAAACAGTTGTGCGGCAGAAAATATATTACTTGGGATTTAAACTTTTGCATCGAATTTAATCGTTTAATGCCATCTGGCAAAGTGTTGAAAAATAATGCACATGTATTATATTTGAATTTTTGTAGTGAGCTGTTGATAGCATCTGATGAATACGTCGAGTATCGTAAGCGTCCTTGTGTCGAGATGTATTTGACATATTGTTTTTAATATTTAGAGCCCAGAACAGATGTACCACTTTCGTAACAATTCGTTATGACTACTTGGATTGCTTACTGCTACACAAATCGTTCGGAAAAGACGTGAATACTTTTCTAATGTAAGAAGTTACACATATGGTTTGGAGAACATTTGAAGGAAATGTTTAAGTTTCGTGATTTTTCCCCTTATATTAAAAAAGGAAAGCACTGAGGATTAGAAGTTGAGCGATAAAATCGTTCGGTTATTTCCTAGAAGAGATTTTCTGGTAGCAACTTCTTTTAGTATGTGCGAAACTAAGGAGTTCGAACAACTTCAGCAGCATCTCTACCACACCTCAGAGAAGTAAATGGTGCAGGAAATAATTCTCACTGATGTATTTAAATTGGATACTAAAATATTGCCGTTGTCAACAAAGGAACACCACGAGTAATTTGCACAATGCTTGACATCAATTGTATTACTGGCCTAATCTACTAACTCTAAACTTGAGCACGCATGGCTCTTTTGACTTCAGATGAGAGTACTTCATATTTATGTAAAAAAGTGAAATAAAAAAGTAACAGTGGCAATAAAACAATGTGCGCTGTCTTATTTATTTGTGCAGTAGGTAGTACCACAGACTTTAAATATTGCGACAACTCTAATTCTACAGATGTTCGTAATGGTTCGCAGTGTTAGTTTTTGCCTACTTTCCTGTGAGATCAATGTGAGAAATATCAAACGCAGAAGATGTAACATCTAGCAAACGTACAATTCAGTTCCAGCACACTGTAAATAACACTAAACTGCTAGGCCTTAATTTGTAAATGTTGTTTTAGTTTTTCCTCTCAATATTCCGAGAATAATTAACGATAGT